TTTATTCATTCATACAGAACTGGGGTACAGGCCAGAGATACAGAGGGTGAAGATTCACCAGAGACAGAGTAGGGAGTAGAACAGGCAGATCGACGAAGTACACTGCTGAGGGGAGCAGCGGGCGGGTCAGGAGAGGTCTGCCACGCCATGTGGTCACCTCCAGGGCAGGCGGGAATCGAACTCATGTGGAAGTGGCTTTAGCTTCTCAGTGCAGGGCTTTAACCCGCTGCGCCACCAGGGAGGGCCCACTTTTTATATCTTAATAGCTCTTTCAAGCCAAAGACAAGATGAAAGCCTATTTAAAGTGCTGATCTGTGTAATTACTCAGAAGTTTGTGTGGAAGAGATGTTTGGGTAGAATAAATGAGACTAGAAAATGAATGATGATATCTAGCAGGAAAATGATAATCAAAGCCTCTGTGTTTAACATCTTTATGATTGACTCTTAAAAGCTAACCTCAGTTCCTCGCTGGTGGCTCAGTGGGTTAAAGAACAGCAGCCCCTGCAGTGTAAGTTACATCCCTGGCCAGGTAGATGACCCACATGACACGCAGAACTCTCCTGACCTACCCACTGCTCCCCTCAGCAGTGTATTTCAGTCAATCTGTCTGTTCTGCTCCCCACTCTGTCTCTGGTGAATCATCTCACCCCCAGCACCTCTGGCCTGTACCCCTGTTTTGTGTGTATAAATAAATAAATCTTAAAAAAAAAAAAAAGCTAACCTCAGTGCATACTACATCACACATGTTAACACAGTAACCGCGGCATTCCTTCTTTTGACTCTGAACTTTCCTCCCCCCACCCATCTGTACCCACCCAGTTTGACAGTGTCAGGAGCTTTAGAGAAAGAAGAGGTTGTGGACACACTGTAACCTACACCTGAGCTATCTTACCTTTTTGTTAGTGGGCCCCCTCCCCCAATGCTGCTCTAGTTTACTCCTGATTATCCTCCAAATGACAAGATTGGGGTGCCAGGAGATAGGGTCCCGATCATCCATTATAGTTCTCTCTCTTTGTTATTAAGAGGATTTGGTAAAACATTTTCCAGGCCTAGATCACAGTTTTTCCTTTCTGGGCTGGGAGATGTATATTTCTATTTTTCATTTTTTTTGTTTTGTTTTATTTAATCTTAGGGATATACATTCTTGTGCTTTATTTGCTTCTTATTCCACAGACATGAGCCAGACACAGGAGTTCTAACTTGCCCTTTAATTATTAAAATAGCCTTTTAACAAAAGGGTTGTATAGGAATAACAGGTCCTGTACTGTGAATTTTAGTTTGTTACTATTGACAACGACTATTCCTTCACCAAAAATTTATAGTTTAATAAAAAAAAGTACACATTTAAAGTACAAAAATGATGGCTTGATGTACAAGGCCCCTCTGAGCCTTCTCTGGACTAAGTCAACGCTGGCCCATATGAACTGCAACTTTCAACACGATTTCATCTATCTTTATGTTCAGAGACTTCAACAAGAGCACAATTTTCTATCAGTTCAAGGCTGTGTCCCTTGGATGATGACCTGAGAAAGTTCAACACTGCCAAAAGAATTTACTGTTTGTGCTAGTCAAAAACCTAACCATAGCCCCCTGGCCTCCCAATTCTTGGAGCAAAATTTACTTTTGAAAACTTATGATTATAGATCCTTTCTCTGGATTTGGAATATATCTTGTACACCCCAGGAATGTCTTACTCGGGGCTTGGGAGTCATTCCTTTGAAATGTAATCATAAAGAAAGACAGGTCCTTGTCTTTCAGTGTCTATAAGAGAAAGGAGACTAACTTTGATAAATACCAATTAGCAAATACAGATGCCCTGATCACATTGATCAACTTCTCCCTGACACAAATTTCCCTCAGTCATTTTTCTTGAGTACACCTCAGTCTTTAAAAAGCTACCTTGTTGCCTTTTGAACTCTATAGAGTTCAAGCCATGAATAAAGTCTGTCTTCCACTTTTACCAAGTGTCTGGGTGTTTATCTTTGATAATATGAACTAATAAGATAGAAATTGTACATCAGGGTTAAGACATGCAATAACAGGGAAAAGGGACATGAATGTAGAACAAATAAACTATTTAGGGGATCATTTCAAGTGATATTTAATTCAGAGGCATTTATTATCCTGCATGACGTTAAAGTGGAAGCAAGTGGAGAAAGGACAAGTTGGGACATGGGAACAGGTGCTTATGGACCACTGTCTCTAAACTGAGGCTTAATTGAAGGCATCTCAAAGTGTAATAGACAATAAGCATTGGCTAGAATGGGAAAAAAGTGGAATTCAGGCCTTTCATGTTTGGAGAAGCCTATGAAAGGCTGACTTTGCCCCAAGTGGACACACTTTTTAAAATAAGTTAGTTATAACCCATGTTGGACTACTCAGTAACCCAGAATCCTAAGGCTTTATGCTGTCACTGTTCACCATGGCAACAGCCATGTCACACAGTATAAATTCTGGTGCCGGCTGGCAGGCAAGTCTTTAGGAGAGTATGAAGGGTTTAAGAAAGAAGTAACATCCCGAGTCAGACTAGAAGAGTCATCACAGCATTCAAGCTGACAAGACATTCCAGGGTCCAAGCTGGAAGCCTACCGTACTACCACCAAGGTAAGGGCATCCTCTGGGTTTTGTTTTGTTTTTTTTCTTTTTTTTTCTTTTGGTAACTAAGGGGGTATCTTGATGGGAGGAAAAACCATAGAAGCTACTAAGGCAGCCTCCAAGTTTGTTTATTAATACTTTTATTCAAGGTTCCCAGAAATTACTTTGACTAAGATTTATCTGTTTATACATAAATTCAAAGATCTCTTGGTACATAACTCTGAATCTCTAGTTGGATACCCAAAGATAAATAAGTTAAGTAAAAATGTTTTGTGTTAACTAAGTTTGGTAATGATTCTGTATGTGAAAAACAAAGACTTCTATCAAATGTGTAACTAATGTCATTAGAGTGTTTTTTAAGTCTAGCTAGAAGAGGAAAGAGAAAAGGTCTCGGGGTGCTTTATGGTATACAAAATGTGGAAAGGGGAGGAGGGTTGGGTAGAGGGGGTCAATTTGATAATGGTAAATTATATTATTAGAACTTTGTTGATGGCTATGGTGTGCTTATAATTTACTGATGTGTGAAATGATACTTCTGTGAAAATAATTGCTGTCTTTTTTTAAAAACATTGGTAAATGTATTTTTAAAAAGAAATTTGTGTACCTGCCTAGAGAGAACAGAAAAAGTGTGTCCTATAGCAGACAATATGATGTTTGTGGTTTTTTAAATACTGGCTTTGAATTTTATTTTATTTTATTAATATTCTTTATATATTTTAATATCTGATGTGTTGTTGATGTGAGGGGCAGCTGAGTTGGCCAGCCTGCC